ATTTTACATTTTCCCTTATCTGTTCCACCCAGAATTTTCAAAGCCTATCTTACCTTATTGACCCTTCTCTAATGGACGAAACTTTGCAAACACCTGCAGATGTGGTAAAGGGCATGTCTTTGTAGCAACCCACCATCTTCTTATCACTGTGCAAATCGACTTGCAATGTTTCCCATACCTTCTTCTTAGGGTTCAAAACCTCATCGGGTGTGCCTTCAAATCCTGGGAATGTCACTCTTTCACCAACAATGGCATCTTGGGGAGGTTCAACCAATTCAACCTGGCAAAAAAGCAGAACATCGATGAAAGGTACTTCTTTAATGGCCCCTATGATGCTCATACTCTTCGGTTTGGATGACATACTCACGTCAACATGACATGGGCATAGATATGGATCCTGTGTTGGACCCTTCAATATAGAAGTGGACACGGCATAAAGGGAGAGTCCCATGCAGAAAGCAAAGAGTGGGGCTCACAATTTTTAAAGCAATAAAATCGAATTTGAGGCATAAAACCAAGATTTTGAAGGCGTGAAACCGAGCCCATTTAATGATACACTCACTAAAAAATACATCTAAAATTATTAGTATATAATATTCCAAAAAATTTGTTTGTAAAGACGTAATAACGTACCCTTGTCCAAAATCTAAATCTTTTTTAGTTGTATCCCCGTATCCTATGTTTTAGGGCTCCTAAACATGTACCACTACCTGACACGCCTGCCTGTGTCTGAGCAACATAGCTTGTCCCAACACCGAGTTACTTCTTTTCACACAACTTTGTCACATGTTGCACTCAAAAAATTCAATGGTCATAGTCACGAGTTTGTTTGTTAGGTAATTATGATCATTTTAAATTATAAATAGATAGAAATGAGTTGTGGATAAGTGAGTCATACTTGTGGATCCCACGAATTGTGTGGATAAAACAACCAAGAGTGGGTATAAATCAAACACCTTCCAAACAACGGCAAAGCTCCAAACTGGCAGTGAAAATGGTGGTTCTTGGAAGAGTTAAAAAAAGTGATAAGAAGACTTGTGTAATGTGGGTGATTGAAGTGTACAATGGTTCATGGCAAATATAATTGATTGTGGGGTATGAGAAGTGGGAGGACGGCAGCCTACAGCTTCGATAGGAATGACAATAAGAGAGATTGGATCAAATGGAGAACAATTTAAGAGTAAAGGCATTGATGACAATCAATTCAAGATACCAGTCTAAAAACAAATGAGACTCGGGAAAACTGTCATTAGACATATCCTTTTCTTGTGATCCTATTCACTGAATCACCAAAACATACACAAAATATTTAAATTGCTAAGCACAAGCAAATCATAACATCAAAGTAGCACCACCAACTAGATTTTAAAGAATGAAAGGTTCTGAAGATAATCTTAAAAAAATATTGCAGTCACTTACCTTCGTGTAATCACTATTAGAAGCAGCAAGGACCATTGCTTGGGACTTTATACCCCTCATTGCTGCTGGCTTCAGGTTACAAAGAACGCATACTTTCCGATTCTGAAAAAGAGAGCATTGGTGCAAAAATATGAGTTCAACTTATTTAAATAATAATAATAATAATAATAATAATAATAATAAATAGAAATGAAATTGCTTATATGGTCTATTTAACAAATAAGCATAAGCATGATTATGAAAAAAGTGAAGGGAGAACCTGCATTTCTTCCAGAGGGATATACTTAACCAGGCCACTAACAACAGTGCGAGGCTGTGCTTCACCAACATCAATCTCTTCCACATATAAAGAATCAGCATCGGGATGCTTCTGGGCCTTTGTAATGAGACCAACACGAATATCTAATCTACTAATGGAAATTTCAGCTTCCACAGATGCAGAAACGTTGGGTAATAATAATAATAATAATAATAATAATAATAATAATAATAATAATAATAATAATAATAATAATAATAAATAGAAATGAAATTGCTTATATGGTCTATTTAACAAATAAGCATAAGCATGATTATGAAAAAAGTGAAGGGAGAACCTGCATTTCTTCCAGAGGGATATACTCAACCAGGCCACTAACAACAGTGCGAGGCTGTGCTTCACCAACATCAATCTCTTCCACATATAAAGAATCAGCATCGGGATGTTTCTGGGCCTTTGTAATGAGACCAACACGAATATCTAATCTACTAATGGAAATTTCAGCTTCCACAGATGCAGAAACGTTGGGTTTGGCTTCAGCAGATTTTTTGGGTCGATCCTTTTTTGAAGTATTACCATCTGAAAATAACAAAAACATAGTTGGATCTCCTTTCTAATCACAATTTATCTTGAAGTTAACTTTCCCATAGCACAATCAATTTGCTGAATGATTGCAAAGAGAAGGGCGTAACCATTGGTGCAATTGTTTCTAAAATTCCATTACCATTTTAGAAAGTCTCAAATACACACTAAACCACTGCTTGGTAGTAATTAAAATCTAAACCTTAATCAATATCATAGTCAACAATCAATTTTAACCACATATTTTATGGGATCCACAACTTGTTAAACCTACATTTCATCAACTTTTATCAAAATCTACTAAAATTTTGATTTTAATCCCCACCAAATAGGGACTAAATTGTCCTACTTTCAAGTAATGCTCAATATGGGGGACAACGAGGCATAGTACTTAATAATAGGGAGAAAAGATGCTGACATTTGTATATCAGTACACATGTATAAATTCAAAAAATAAAATAAAAAAACAACTCATAAAAAGAGACCATTGCCTACATCATGCTTTCTGACACTATGTTTCCCTCCTTTATGTTCGTCTACATCTCTGCATGCTTCTTGCCCTGTAAGCTCCAGGCAAAACTTTTGTGACAATTACCATTTTTCCTTCTTCGTCTAAACAAGCACCCTCCTCTTCCACCATTCTTCTCTCATTTTCATGAAGTATCTGTTCGAAGGCTATAAATCATCCACATTAGTTTAAAACCTCCAACCATCTCGCATTTGATCGTTGAACCTAAATCGGGAGTCTTCTTTACAGTTCAAGGGCAGAACATATTAAAAATAACAAACTTTCCCACAATTCCCTTTCTTTACACGTCATTCAAAGGTCAATCAGTACAATGTTTTCTAACCTTGCTTGCATTTCAGAGTTGATTTACTGTCCTTTATATGATCATCTTACAAGTTACATATATATGTATGTTGCCTATACACTGTATAGGAATAATAATATAGTCCTAACGTTATCCAAACTATATTTTAATGAGGGATTATATCAAGTTCAATGAAACACAAGGAAGACAAATGGAGCAAAGATGAAAGAGTTCCGTGCGATGACAGTCCATACTCAAGGTTCCCTCATAGAGACCACAAAGAAACAAATGAATGACTACTAGGATTCCTCAAGTAATAAGTGATCTCAACCTCAGCCAATGGAATCCATAATATGACGGGTCCTGATCACGGCTAGTTAGCTCCACAAGACTTCGATAATCTTTTTCAAAAGGTCTTTCTCCAATTTATTGTTCTTGTAAACATTTCTTGTCTTCACTGAGCATCTTCTCTTTGTTACACTATTTCTCTTAATTAAAAAGTCCCTAGCATAAGACAGCATCACTGAAACTTAACCCTAACCAAACTGGGCAAGACAGTAAGTTCTCAATTTATAAGAAATACAGAAATTGTCAGCGGAGGTAAATGTCTACCTACATAAAATTGATACAACCACAAAGAGTTAATCATAACCCAAAGGTGAAAAGCAGAACCTAAGGTTCTGTGAAAACATAATTATGCGGAGGGCAAAACAGAATTACAGGTTTCTGCATGTGATGGAAAGCTGAGGAGAACATAGATCCAAATATTATTTACAAAATCAATTAGAAAGAAAAGAGCATGACCTGAGACTTTAGTTCCTTTCAACTTTTCAGTAAGCTTCTTTGCTTCAGCTTCTGCCTTTACAATCCTATCAGCTTGACTTCCAGCAAATTTCTCTCTGAAAAACTCAACCTCTTTATCTTCCTGCAAATCATATTTTTGATTGAGCAAGCAGCAAAAAGGAATCACTTCAGTGATGATTGTAAAATAAACACGAGCAGCCAATAGAGAGAAAATGAATAGGTCAAAATAGTACCAGTACTCTGAAGAGTGGTGCTGGAGTACCAATTTTATGACCTGCCGGTATGATCTCCCAAGGTTTTTTTGCCCTTTCAATATCACCTTTTTCATCAGAAAGTGAAATTTGTGTTTCAGGGGGCAAGTCTAGCTGCTTCAGTACCTACATGTCATTGGGAAGTAACCTCATTATAGTCTGATCGATGAGCTAGTTTCTGAGAGATCTTGCATTCTTTATGTAAATTGCTGCACTGAGCTACTTTTGTTTCATTACCTCAAGGGAAAAAGATGGCATAAAAGGCTCTAAGAGACATGCGAGAAGATACACTAGTCCAACTGATGTTTTCATAACCACGGAACAAGAAGGTAGATCCTCCTTGTAGAGCTTCCAGAATTGGCTTTCCTACATGGTCAAACAAGAGTATAGCAAGTATTCCGCTTAGACGAAAATCAGAGGACTAGACATTCACGATGGCAGGATATATATGTATGTATGTATGTATAAAAGTACAGGCATACTTGCAAATAAGCGTTTCCTTCTCCAGATATAGACATAGCAATCTTCAAACCTTGTTTTAGTTTCACCTACATTGAATTCCAATTGGAATGTTATTCATTATGAAAAAGGTCCCTCCATACGTCTGTGCAATTCCAAAATAATGGGCACTATGCATCAGTAACCTTCTCCATTGCTTCAATATACTGCTCAACATAACTACCGACTTTTTCTCCCAATACTTTTGTCAATGAATGCGATTCTGCACCCTGAGCATCAGGAATAATGGAACCATATCCTGAACCTGAAATAATGTAGAAATGCATGACGAACAAAATAACAATCTTTGAGCTCTTGTAGAAGTCCCAAGATGCAAAGCACGTAAGCTCATCTCACGGAAAAAATAAGGAATAACTCAATAAAGCAAGAATGACCATTAGTCTGACCAATAAAATGATTCCAAGTGTTGTCCAGAAAATTACACAAGTGCTTCCAGGCTTCCAGCACCATATACGGTCATATGGTTGAAGACAAACAATAATGGAACACATCAAAGACCAAATGTTATATCAGAGGTTTCATAAACAGAAGAAGTTAATGCACCTGGGTCTTTCGCGATGAAACTTAAGACTCGATTAATGAAATTTCCTAGATTGCTCAGCAACTCACTGTTCAACTTTGCTTGCAAATCAGTCCACGTAAACAACGTGTCTGACACCTAGACATCGCAAATTTATTATGATTGTCAATGAGAAATTACAAATCCAGGTATATCTGCTTCAGAGGTACAGGTGAGAAAATAGACCAGTTTCATATTATCAAACTGCAGTCACAAGAGTTTACCTCTGGCCTATTTGTCAGCAAGTAGTATCTCCATACTTCAACAGGAATGCCTGTGTCCTTTGCATCATTTCCAAAAACACCGACACCCTTACTCTTCGAGAATTTCCCTACACAACAATTTGACACGGGTAAACTCAATTTCAAAAAATATTATGAAAGTGGTATATAATCATATATGCACTTCTAGACAAATCATGTAGTTAAATAACCTGCTTCATAGTTCAAGTATTCTGTAACGCTTATGGTCTTCATCAAAGTCCAGTTTTCAGCTGTTCCAATGAGCATGGAAGGGAACATCACCTGAAAAAGTTACAGAGACCAGTACATGGTTTACATTCTCTTCAGTATGGATTTAGGATTTTCATAATTGAAGAGTTTTCAAACAACTAAAATTTGTAACCTCTTAACAGCCAGTCCTAGTATCGATATTTACTCTGTAAACATTCTATATGCTAGGATTGTCAAGTAGGCAAGTACCCAAAACCAGGAGAGATAGAGTTTACAGCATCTAAAACAAAGTCCAAAATTCTTCTTTTCCTCTTCACTTTGAAGCCACAAACCTTATTTCTCCAATAACTCAATAGAAGTAAAAAATCATTTTTTCCATGGTAACTAGGCACAAGATTTGAGTGTAATAACACTTAAAATCTTTAAAATCTACTCTTCTGTGTCATTTTTGATTTCCAAAGCATGGAAATCAATGTTTAAAATGCTGAATCGAGACATTTATCCCTGAGGCAAGGTGTAAGCCTCAAGAAAACCAATAATATTATTCAAAGAATATAGAAGTAAATCAGAAGTACCATCTTGAAAATCCACATTAAAACAAAGAGCCTTGCTAGAAATCCAGGGCCACGGTGCCTATTTGGTGCCCCCCCCCCCCCCCCCCTTGGTGCCCCCCCCCCCCCAACATTGGAAAGGGCCGTGGCCCTGGATGAGGAGATTTATCCTAAAACTAATTGATATTCTAACTGACAAAACAAGCATAAAATAGATTAAGCACTTGCCTGGTCAAGCTTTTTGGCCAAGAATCGATTTTCTGTACAATTAAAGTGGGCCCATTTACAATTTCAATTGTTTTGTGGAAGGACAAATTATGACACAAAAGAGAAGTACGGTTCCATCAAATCCAAGCTTTTGTTTTCTACATAGACGCTTTTACGGTTTTACCCTTGAAAGCAAAGAAGATGATCGGCAGAGGAGATTTCCAGAAAAAATTGGAGAAAGAGGTAGGTCTAGTTTATTTATTGACAGGGGTATTAAGGTCCTTAGGCATGCTTAGTGAGGGTAACAATTGGTAATTGTAGGAAACGTGTGGACAGGGTTGTCACCCTACTGCAACGGTTGATTTTTTGGGTTACAATTTTTAATTCAAAAATCCCGATTTCAAAGTATCAGATTCTGCTAAAACTCTGATTAATATGTAGACCCAACAGGGGCTAAATAATAAGTTCTCATTTCTCAAATTCATAATAACATAACAAACTACTACTAGAAATAGAGTCAATCTAGTAAGTCCCCTATATCATTACTATTAGACAATCCTCCAGCAAGAGTCTAGTTAATCCTATTTATTATACGTAATAGACATTATTGAAATCCGTGCAGAAAAAGCCAACCTCCGTCACTTACAACAAGAGTCTAGTTAATAGTTATTAAGTAAATGCGGTTACTTTATGCATCTACCTTTATTTACTACAGCTCCTTGCAGTTACCAACAAAATTTGTCTCCATCCCTAGAAGGAAAAACACAAAACCAGTTCTATCACTCAAATGAATAGTTGCCCCACTAGAGCAATTCACTGCTTCCCTTTAAACGGAGCAAAGTGTTCAGTATAAAACCAATTTCTACAGTTCCAACACCTTAATCTGGAAAGAAGAATACGATCTTGGAAGAAAAATATAGATTCTGTTTGTCACAATCTAAACGAAAAAGTTTTTACAGCTGATCTCCTGAAGTTGCAGAATAAAAGTAGCAACAAAGCTTTGGTTGCAATTTAATAATATATACTCTTTTTTATCCATGAAACACAAGATATTTGCGTGGATAAATAAACTATAATGCAGATATGCCTACTACAATAACATGAATAAAAAAAAGTTGCATTTACAGCAGTAACACACAACATATCCTCATCAGTCATTCCTTTAACAACAGATGCAAACACCAAACTAAAACAATTGAGCAATGCACAAAGGCTACCATAAACTGGGAAGGGCAAATTCCAAGTTGTACGAAAATATCATGGATATATAATATCAGGTAAAGGTTTTAACCAAAATCACAAGGGTATAAACTTATCCTACAATTCTACAACCCATACTTAAAATTTAAGATTCCAAATTTTGAATGTAGTTGACTTACAGTATGAAAAGGCACATTATCCTTGCCCATAAATTGATAGAGCTCTACATCTTCAGGATTTTTCCACCATTTCTCCCACTCTGGTGTGTAGCATGAAGTAATTGAGACATATCCAATAGGTGCATCAAACCATACATAGAATACCTAGCCATAAAAGGCCTTGTCATTTTGCAAGTAATATAATCAAAGTACCCACTACTATCAGCAATTTGGTACCAGATAAGCATCAAAATAGCTAATTTGAAGAAATTGAGACTACTGTCTACATGATAGTAAATGTTTTAACAGAGAGGTCATTTCACCTTGTCCTTAAACTTCTCGTGCGGAACAGGAACTCCCCATTTCAAATCTCTTGTGATACAACGCTGTTTCAGCCCTTCTCTAAGCCAGGCATGTGTTGCTTGTATGGCATTTTGGCTCCACCCTCCAGCGACTGACATTTTGTTTATGTATTCTTCTAATTTATCCTTCAGCAGAGGAAGCTCAAGAAACAAGTGGTTTGTTTCTTGGATATTTGGAATATTACCACAGACCTATCCATAAGCAAGCCAAAGTGTACATTCAACTCCCCCAAAAATAATTAAAGATAATAATTTGCATCTCTTATTTTTTATAAAGATTTTTCAAAACCTTCACTGACAATATTGTTATTTTGGAAAACGAAGTTGATCAACTCAATACTCTCATCACAAGTGAGGGTAATTAAAGAGATTTTCTATTCTTGAGATAATCCACGTGATCCAAATGAGTCTTAAGCAAAATGATCGTGAACGCACCTTGCATCTTGGCTCTAGTAATTCTGTGGGATTTAAAAGTTTCCCGCACTTTTCACATTGATCACCACGTGCAGAATCATAATTACAGCCAGGAGTTGGACAATT